CCCCGCTCCCCCACTCGCGGGGTGCCCACGCCTGGGATGGCCGGCGGAGCCGGACCAGCCCTCGGGGCGTAGTTAGGAAACTCGGGGGGGGTAAAAGACAACCGTGCTGAGCAACTGCCCCTTCCCCGTCCGGCTTCGCTCAGGTGAAGCGCAGCTCCCGAGGGCGTGGGATTTAATTTTTCGAACGGCGTGACTCCCGCCTTATTTAAGGGCAAATTATCGATGTCACTGCGGCCAGATAACGGGCTTTTAGAACGAGGGCAAAGGTCAGACCGGCCGGCTCACCCCATATTACGCTAGGCCATCCCCAAGAAACGGAGAAAACCCTGAGAAAACGTTTTGTTTAACTTGTATTTCTCAGCACGCCACAGTGAAATTGTCACGCTATTTCAAATCCTGCAGAATGCGTTGGTGCATTTACGCTGGCCGGGAGGATTTAATGCCATTTTATATGCATCTTGCTCCATTTCCCCATGAAGCGTGGGTTTTAACCTCTCTGAAGTTGTTATTACCTGCACACTTAAGAACAAAAATATAGGCAGAAGTTCATCCTGGAGAATACTGATCTGCTGAAGAGGAGGTGAGGGCGGTTCAGAAAAGCCGTTTACACCGCAGGGCTTTGTGTAAGGAGGATATTGATCAGCATGCTCTTCATATACATTAAGAATTATTTGTGTTGATGTGAAATCCTTTTCACTTCTCTTCCCCTAATTAATGGACACTATGCAGAGGGTGCATTATTTTTTTGATAAACTGCCTAAATACAGGGGAAAGAGAACTTTATCAGCACAGTGCTTTATCGAGGGTACATGGATACTTTCGATTTTTTGCTCTTCCTCCCACATTGCTTTAAATCAGTAGAAGTCATTAAGACCTGTAGCAAGACATTGAATTAGGGTGAATTACGTTGCAAGAAATTTAGAAGTATTTACATGAGTTACAGAGATCATTCTAATTATGACTGATACCGGTCAGGCTACTGCTAACAAAGCATTAATTCAGCTCATGAACATGCCCTGTGCCTTGAATGACAAATACACATTTTTGGAAGGAAAAAGTTTTTTTTTAACTTCTCAATGTGAGCGCTAATTCTTTGACAGAATTTTGATTGTATTACCCATACACGTTCCCCAAACAATTAATAGGAACGCAAGATGCACGATCTGAATCATGTCTTTCTGTACGCTCGCACAATATTGTTCAATTAGTCCCTTCACCTCACCCATACTCTCAGTCCTGCTCTAGAACAAATGAAGATTAATAGCAATAAATGTGTTTCTGTATGCATTTGTGTGTATTTTTCAAACAAAGTCCTCGGTGTGAGCTGTTCATTCAGCTTGGCCGCATAGGGGAGCAGGCACTCTCGAGGTGAATTCTGCTGCATTTAAGAATTGGCAGTATTTTCGTGACTGAACTACATGTACCTTGACCGTAACATCATTCTGCCTGCCTTCTGCCCATGATACGGTGCCTAAAACAGGAACATGCTCTCTTTGGCAGAAAAAAAAAGCAAAAAAACTGTGACTCTTCAGCTGTGCCTATGCTAGGAATTGGTGCCCATTCGGTGCCCAGCAGGAGCAAAACTTACAGTCTTTCTTTTTTTCGGAGAGGAATCGAGTTTGTGTGCCACAGCTGCTCTGCCAACACAGCCAGCATGTGGTACCTATGGGCAATCGGGGGACTCACTTCTGAGCAGCAATGCTACTTCAGTGCAAAAGCTAGTGTTGACTCAGCCAGAGGTGCTTGTTTTTGTTAAAAACCTAATAAACATCATTACTGCTATCATCGCTAGGCATTAATAGCAGCAGCCTTCTGTCTTGGCTTGACTTGGCAGAAACAAAGAAGTCTAGGAAGGGCTTAGGATTTCTAAAACACTCCCTCAGAAGAAGTTTGGAAAAAAGATACAGCACAATTTTGTCACGATTGTGTCGTGAAAACTTTGGTAGTACCATTCCTCCTCTCTTTCGTTTCTTTCTAATCCCTCTTTTAATGGCAGTTGTTCACAGCGGAGGGAGAAATGGCAGGTCCCATCACGATGGTTTTTCCTATCTCCTCTTGACTGTTAAAAATGAAAATAGGTGTTCAATATACTAAAAAAAGCAATAGGCTGGAGCAAGATGGATACCAAGAGGCACCACTTCCAGCTGGCTGGATGTATCTGGCGTGGATGAAGAGGCTGGGATGGGGGGAGCTCGGGGTCCCCTTGGCAGCCCCCCGCGTCCTCCCACCTCTGGCACAGCAGCTCTCTCCGTCTCTGCTTCATAACGCCGTAGCATGGCTGGCTTGGCCTATCTCCTACAGAGTCCAACGGCAATTAGAACATTAAAAACAAGAGCTTGACCTAATTTTTTGTTCTCTGCCTGCTAGAGATGGAAAGACATCGCTGGGCAGCAATCACCGGAAAACTTCTTTATATTATTCACTGTGCTGCTACGCAGTTATCTTGCTGGAAACAGCGGCTGTACGGCTGAAGAATATTCCTAGCTGTTCTCCACCCAGATAGCACACGAATGCATCAGCTCATCTCCAGATACAAATTTCTGGAGAATCCGGGCCACGGTGCCCTTTTCCTTCCCTCCCGGTCTCTTCGTGCACAGCTGCTGGCAGCTGCCCTGGGCGGCCGCCAGCTGCGTCCCGCTCCCCCCGCAGCAAGGCTGGGCAACCCACGGGTGGGCTGGGTGTGTTACGGCTCTTCTCTGCGGGGTGCTGCCCCAGACCGGAGAGCGGAGGGATGCGGAGGAGGCGTCAGGACAGGACAGACGTTCAGAGAACTCTGGACTCGGATGGGAAATGCTGTGAGTTGACACAAAGCCGCCAGAGCCAAACACAGCCCGACCTCACCCTTGCATGCACACGTGC